CTGTGATTTAATCAAGGTTAATAGGCAGCACCTGTCATTAATGGCAACCATGACAACCATGACATGATGCATATCACATGCAGCTTGCTCTTCCAAAGTACGGAGCAATCTACCTGCAGAGAGGTGCTCAGCCTATCACAGTACCACTTTGTGTTGAAAGGGACTCGGGTTAAAATCATATCTAGAAATAATAATGCATTCCCTTACCTCTGTTTCTAATAGCACAGTTGATACGGGGAAATCAGGGGATATTCAGAAATGAGGAGAGGTTCTCTCTGCGGTTTTGCCTGTGTAGCCACCCACGTGCACACCCCAAACATATTTTTAATAATCACAAGCAGTGTCTTTAGGGAAAGACGTTGAAATTTTCACTCTAAATTGATTTCTGCTCCATGTGTGGCTCCCAAGAATATTCCATGGGCGTATTTTTTGGGAGTAGGGGGTCAGTGAGGGGTATGTCTCACAGTGCAGCATTGTCAAGGGCTTGGTGTAACTTACATTTGATTCCTTGTGCACCTGCTATACCAAGTGATTTTATGTGTTTTGATTGCCAGGCTACAGAGACAGGTCATGCAGGGATGCTGATGAGTGTCTAGCCAGTTCTCAAATACGTTCTAACAGCAGTGGGTCTGGATGCAGGCCTGGAGGCTTGCAAGGGCTCTGCCACAGAGCCACCACTTCCATTTCACAATTTGCAGACCAGTTGTGAAGCCCTCCTGATCCCCACTTTCACCCGTGTGCTTTAAGCTGCTAGGACACAAGGAACCCTGTTTAAAGCTGGCTGTATCCTCATACATGAACACAAGTGCTGGGAATTGCAAGAGATCTTGAAGTATTTGGACTGACTGGGAGAAGTGATGAGTTGTGCCCTGGGATGAGGACATATCTGGAGGGACCAGGAAAGGCAGTGCATCTTAGCAGATGTGCTTTACCTCTGGAATCAGCTGTGTGAGAGCTGCTGGCAGGTTTTGCATGCCATTCAACATCTCCCTGCAGATGAAAGATTCCTCCCTAAACTCTTGTTTGAGGGGACAATTAATCTGCAAAACGGATGTGGAAGGGCATCTGGACAGCTGTACCCAAAGTTCCTACACATTTGCCTGGAACAAGCTGCAGCATTTTGGCATGCAGTGTCATATGCTGGAGCAGACCCTGGGCAGGGGAAGCTGGTGAAGACATTCTCATGGATTGCCATAGTTGTAGTGCTTGTGCAAAGCCATTTGTATAACCTGATGATCTGTCCTGTTAGCAGAGGCTTTGGGCAAGAAGTAATCACAGTTCTGATCTGGGCAAAGTGTTTCCCAGGCATAGGCTGAGCTTTGGGACTGTGGTCCAAGGGCAGGAGCTGCCAGGCAGACTGGCAATGCCCTGAGTTACGGGGTGACAGGGCTAATGAGGCTGAAGCCTGGAACGCCCTATCTCTCCCTCCAGGATGGGATGTAGTCTGAAGATAGGTGTGACTGGCGGTTCTGCATGCTTCATTTTCACATCTCAACATCAGCTCAGCTTGTTCTTTTACAGAGGGCTGGGAGGAGTGGGGTCAGAAGGTCCCAGCTGTCTGGAACTGCCTGTCCTGATCCTGGTGCCCCATTTCAATGCCTGGGGAATGGGCTCCATCCTCCTTTCCCCTCCCTGCTGGCAGCCCTCCTCTGACAGAACTGCCTTGCTTCAGCCCTGCCACAGCCCATCTGGGAACTGCCTGGGTGCAGGCAGAAGGGAGCAGCAGCCTTCCTGCTGCCAGACACTGAGCAGATGGTTTCATCCACACCTAGACAAGACTCTGTCTACTGGGCTGACACCGGAGGCTAAACAGTTGTGTGAACACATTCCCTCTGTCATTGCTGACTTTTCCTATGCAGTTGTCCTGAGGGACAAAGAGAGGGGTCAGCATGTGGGATGTCTGAGCACGTGGAACATCTTGATGCCAGCCCAGCTCTGCAGGGACTGAGTGCAGAGGAAGCACGGGACCCAGCTGCTGGGCGTAGCGGGGCTCGTTTTGCAGAGGTTGCCGGTCGCACACTGACCGCGGTGCTTGCCAGCTCCCGAGGGAGGAAGCAATCTGTGTCATCTCACAGCGGGCTTCCTTAAATCTCAGCCTGATTAAGTGGTGGCAATATGGGCTGCCCGATATGAAACAGCCAGCTTTCTTCTCTGAAAAGGGCCGATCGTTAGTGCAGAAATAGCCTGTTAATGGTGTGCATTTTCCTACAGAGGCCAGTAACAGCGGAATCACTAGATTCTGACTGTGTGGGTAGATTCTAAAGACGACCAGCATCACATTGGTTACAAAGTGAGTCTGCCATGCTTCTGAGAAAGGTGAATTTGAACACTCTGGTTTTCTTTTCAACATCAAGATGTGTGAGGGATTTAGGGAATATCCTCTCAGTTTCTGACATCTTGTCTGACCTTTAGAATGCGGTCCTTGTGCTTTCTGTGGTGAGATATGGGCTGAAATACCCATGGACTGCACGCAGAGATGGTGAAGCTTGCAGAAAGCTTTGCTGTAGAAGAAGAGATGGTGCAGAAGGCACTTGGAAGGGTTTTTTTGTGGCAGTGGTTTTCCATCAGCACATTTACTGAGAGCTGTATCACAGTCTGGAAAGAGAGTTTAATGCACAGACTGCTGATAAAGAAGTGCAGTAAGTAGTTACATTAGAGTTATTTATTCATTTCAAAGAGATAAAAGCTTTCTGAAATCAGTGCAGTCATCTTAGCTTGTGGCTGTTGTTTTTCTTAGTTTCTTGTGTATTTTAGAGATCCAATTAATTTACAGGCAATGACTGATGCTGAGAAGAATACAGCTCAAGCTGAACTGTTTATTTTTCTTTCCCTTCGTTCTCAGAAAGCGGTGAGCTGGGGCCTGCCTTGGTGGTGGGTCCCCAGCATTCAACAAATAGGAATAAAATAGTCAGCTATGTTTGTGCTGAGACACAGTCAAACATTAGCGCTTCTCCAGTTTGAAGAGCAAAGAGTTATGGAGGTATTGTAACTAACAGCATCAATGCATTTTGCCTGGTGAACACTATGTAGGAAGCATAAATTAAGAGTTGTCCACTGGAATTCTCTGGAGATGTGACCTGGAGGACACCAGCCTCAGGCGCTGCTGTATGCAGGTTCCCAGCACTGCAGGGAGAAATGTGGGATGGCCTTGCCTTGCACACTCCTTAATTTCAGCATGCTGGTTAGAAGGGAACATCAAACTTGGAGATATTTATGTGCAACTTCTACCTGAAAAGCTTTCTGAGAAACCCTGCCATCCTTTACGGACGTGTTATGTAGGGATTTCTCGCTCCCTGTTGGAAGGCAGGAGTCTCAATGAGTTGGACCCTCGTGAGCAGCGCAGTGATGCTTCGCAGGCAGTTCTGACCTCTAGCACAGGGCTGTGCTGAGGAGCAGCCTTCAGCAGTTGGGATCAGATCTGAAGTATTGCTATCAAGGGCATCTTTTTCCTGTGAGCTGTCTCTGACTTCCACGCTACATAACAAAGTTCCCAGTGCTTGGGGATGAGCACTTTGCACTGTAATCTTTGCCCAGCTCTGCTCTGAGCCCCGTGCTGTGCTCTGAGACACTGTCAGCAGTTGCTGGGGTTTCAGCAGTGCCAGATTCCTATGATCCCAAACAGTTGTGGAGGCCAAGCATGATCTAACTGTTGTTCATGATCTGCCAACCATTAGAGGCTGAACTGATCTCCTTCAAACAAGAGCCCGTGGGCAAAAAAGCTGTACCTGTGGTATGGAAAGGACCTGAAAGCAAAACAGAGCTGTGGGCAGCGTAGGCACACACAGAGGGAGCTCAGTGGCCCCCAGTGCCCTCCAGAGATACGTGTTCAAGCCCTCCTTCCTGGACATCCCAGCATGGCTCTTGCCTCCCTGATGAGCGTTGCCCTGGGCTGCTTGGGCAAGTAGGCCTCAGTTTCCGTGGAGAGGTTCAGTTTGAGACCTGAAGCTTGTTTCAGTGTAGGGCCTGGGATTTAGACCAACCTGCTGGCCCAAGAAGAACCACTGTCTGCCAGGAAGGAAAATCCCTCTCCTCTTGAGTCATGTTTGGGTAACCTGTTTCATTCCCCTTAAAGTCTATCTAGAACCTGATGGCAGGTGCTAATAACTTCATTGGGATTTAGAATCATAGAACAGAATCATAGAATCACTAGGGTTTGAAAAGACCCCTGAGATATCTAGTCCAACTGTCCGCCTACCACCAGTATTGCCCGCTTAAACCGCGTCCCTGAGTACCACCTCTGCACCCACCATCATCTCCTGATGATGACTGTCCTTCTGAGGAAGCCTTTTTTATGCAGCCATCTGCTGTCACATTGAAGCAAGGTTAGGCCAGTCCCTGGGGCTTTTCACTGAGGCAAGCAGGGCTGGCCTCAGCTTGTAATGCAGGTGGCCAACTGGCCTCATGTATTCCACATTATTCTTTCTGCCTTGGGGAAAGGCCATGCACCACCAAGGTCCTGATTACTGTGATCCTGTTTGAACTGTTCACTGTCTGACGGGTCTTACTCTCCCTGTCCTCTTCTAGGAGCTGATAATCCTCTCCCTCCAATAACACCTTTCTCTAGTCCTTTTTCCCTTTTTCCCTAGTACTGGTGTCACCGTGCTCTGTTCACGTCTCTTTCAGCCTCCTCTTTTCTTTCTGATCACGTCCTGGCCATCCCCCTGTGCCCCGACCCAGCTTTCCTTGCTGCCTTCCCTCTCTGCAGCTCATCACCACTGGCGTGTCCCAGCAGGCTGGCAACATTTGCAAAATGAAAATGTCTTCTACCACATTTTTCAGTTTTGCCACCAAAATCTGACAGCCAAGATTATGAAGCGGCTTCTGCTGCTCACTGTGTGCTTGCTGACCTGAAGGCAACCTAGCCAAGGCTCTCCTGAGCAGTTCTCAAGCCATTCTTGCTCTCATGTAAGTGTTCTTAAAACAACTATCTGATCTAGTTGGCTGGAGAAGCCCTTGAGACTGATGTTTGGCCCCATCTTTTTCCTTTCTTTCAGGCTTTGCTGCTTCAGGAAGAAAGGGCAGTTCTTGGATCACCGTAGCCTGCTTGACTTCTCCAATCTCAAATTATTCTGCTTTTGACATAGGCAGCAGGCTAGCAGCTGGCACTTGTGAGAGCTGAGGAGGTGAGTTCATGGGAAGAGGACTGCCTCCAGTTTCAGTGCTTGGGGACCAGCTGGTGTTTCATTGGGATCTTGAAGGCTTTTTGCTGTAGATGCGCAGGGGCTCTCCTAGGAAGCAGGGGCCTGGCTGAGTGTGGCCTTTTTGGGCACACCTGAGATGCTTATCTGCTGTCCTGGCTTAGTGCTGGGTTCCTGGATGAAGAGACCATGTGCTCATCTAAGCCCTGCCTTGTACCAAGAGCCTTCTTAGTGACAGGCAGGACTTTTTGGTTGTGCTTCCCCTCCTGTTGCCTTGAGCTCAGTGGTCGTCTTTTTAGATTGTATCTCCTATCTCCCCATTTCTAGACTCATCTCACACATTACTGCAGTTCTCAGTTGGGATCCAGCCTAGCCAAGATCATCAGTGTGATGAGCTTGATTTTCTAGTCCCACACATTGCCTTGATCTCAGGATGGGTCATGAGGATAACAGAGCATCTTGCAGCTGATTTAGTTTTTGCAGGGATTTGAGTTCTCTGGAAAAACTCCCAGGAAAGATGCTCAGCTTAATCATGATTAAGGCCAACAAAAAATCTGGTAGCTGATCCTCTGAGCGAAGAGAGGCTGCATTTGATCAGTAGATGAACTTGGGGCATCTACTGACAATCTAAAGGGTTTTCTTAGGCCTCATTAGTTTAACTGCCTGGGCTGTACTATGCTGGGCAGAGCTGCTGGGTAACACACTGCTTATTCATGAGGATGCCTTTATCTGGAGAAGCCTCCATCTGTTCCACAAGGTGTCATGGTTTTCTCTTTAATATCCTAGGGATTGTTTTCAGGACAACAGGAAAGAAGAGACTGACAATGCAGATGGAATGGAAGAAAATGACAAGTGATTAAACAGCTGTAGATGAATGGAGATGCAGCTTAAGAGATTGACTGTCGCCTGCTGAATGGAGAGATGGAAGGAAAGATTGCGTTCATGTGCACCAGGATTGCAAATCCCACCCTCCCCCAGCAGATCTTAAATTGTGTTTGTTATTTATTTTGAGCCTTCCCATGTATAAGCCTTCACACAGCTCTGTACTGCACCTTTATAGCCCCAGCTACTATTTCTACCTCCCAGAACCTCTGATCTTGTTTTCTGGGCAGAGATCCTACAAAATAAAACTTACGTGGTAAAACAAGCTGCTTGCTGTGCCAGTGTTTTCTTTGGCTCTCATGTCTGTTCTGCATTCTTGTATGTGCATGACTGTATATATATGTTAACATACACAGATGAGGGATAGTTTGCAGGTAGCAGCATGGATAAGAAATGCATCGACCAGTGTGTGCCTCTGAAGATGTAATAATTTGGGGTCTTTCTTGAAACATTACGTTATTACAGCGGCTGGAAGGTTTTCTAGGTGCTGCAGGTGCAGGGCGGTAGAGGCTGGCCTGGCTGGGGCAGGTCTGCTGCACCCAGCAGCCCTCAGTGCAGGGATGGGTGACCCCTGAGCGTCCCCTGTCCCCCGCTAGGTGGCACTGGGAGCCCTGCTATGGTGTCCCTGCCCCCAGCCACATGGCCTGACCTAGCCCTGCACCCCGCCTCTGCCAGCGCAGTCTCCTGGACGGCGAGCGCTGCGCAGGGAGGGGGACGGGACCGGGGGGGCTGTGTGGAGTACTCCAGCCCTGTCCGCTGGAGTCTGGTGTGTCGCACCTGCCCTCTGCCATGGGGTACTTCCCACGGGGTGCACAGAGATCTGTGCCGGAGCCCTGGCCCTGCCGCGCTCGGAGTCGTTGCATTGCGTGGGTCTCAGTGGGAGGCAGCGTGCTGCTGGTGTCCGGATGGAAGTGACCGCATCGCATGGGTTCTGCCAGGAGTCACTGCGTCGTATTGTCCCACTGGCACTGCACGGGGGCGTCTGGTGTCCTGGTGTGTCACATGCTGTTACGCTGTATCAGTCTGGGCAGAAGTGAGGTGGTTCTCACCGTACATGGTTCTTCTGCTGAGCTGGAGCCTTGGGTCTCCATCTGTGCTAGTTTATGGCTTAGAATAAGCAGAAAGGCAATGGTTATGTTAACTTCAGCCTCTCTTGTTTTCTTTGCCCAGTGCAGTTTGCTTTTAGCCACAAAGCTGTAATACTCACTTTGTATTCTAGCTAGACCTGGGAGGAACAACCTTCTGTGGGAGCTGTAATACCCATCTGAGCTGCAGCTGTTCTGTTGTGTAGCTGTTTTTGGTTCTTGTACTTGCTTTTATTTGGTCAATTAGTGCCAATTGTAGAGTGGACTTGTGATGACCCTGCTCAGGTGACCAGTGCTGCCGGGTGCTTTTACCCTGAGGACACTCTCAGCTCAGACCAGATTTGAACTGAGGATTGGTAGAGCTCCACAAATCCTGTTAGCAGCTCTTGAGCTGGATGAGACTTGTTCTTGCAGAGCAGCGGACTCCGAGAGCAGGTCAGATAGGTTCAGTCTGGCCAAAGGTGTGAGAGGAAGCCTGCAAATGGAGGAGAGTTAACTTCATTGGGTCCTGTGTGAAAATGCTGTCGAGCCTAAAACCAGGTGTTGCATCACAGCTGTGAGTAAGGGCAGGCTGCCTGACTTCTCAGGCTGTCACTAGAGGGAGCAGCGTGTAGTTTTTTTCTCATCTTGTGAAAAGCAACTGTGATGGCGGTGACACAGCTGGGAGAGTGGTTCGGCAGGAGGAGTTTGGGAGAGATGCTGCATAAGGACAGATGTTTCTCTAGGTGAAAGGAAACCTCTCATCCAGCTCAGCCAGGACTTTGTGGGGGTGAAGGACGTGAACATTCCTATGGTCATCTTGCCAAGTGAGAACTGCTTTCTTGTCTCTCCCTTTGGGTCTTGGAAGTGCAAGGTTTTGAAAGGAACCAGGGCCCTGACAAGTGCAATCTCTGAGTGCTTTGGGGACAGAGGATGCAATGAGAAACGTGGTGAACTCAGTTGGCTCTGCTGCTTCTGCAAATGAAACAGGTTTGCTCTGCAAGGAGCGTGACTTCATGTGTGTAGAGATCTGCTGGAGATCTTGAAGAACTCTCTGTTAGCCAGCTTCTGGTGCCCCTCCTGCTTACACTGACACACTGAGTAATGCTACATTGCATCTCTGTGCCATGTTGTGCTGCAATGGGCACATTCGGAGGTACCCCTCCAGGCCTAGAATCTAAACACAAGATGGGGAACAGGGGAATAGAGACAATGCAAGGAAACAAAAAGACCATAATGATATCCTGCCTTGCCATGAATTGGATAATTCCCCCATGACTAGTTGATGGGCAGTGGATTGCTCAGTGGGAGGAAAGGGGTCTGGAGTCAGTCCTGTGAACTTCGTTCTCTCATTTGTAAAATGATGTTGTGAACATCTGGCTCACACATGGAGCGTGACACTTGGCTCGGAGTCTTATAAATATTTTCAGATCCTTGAATGGCTGTTGCTGAAATGTGAAGGATCATCATTAATGAAATATGCAATAACACTGACGGAGCATTTGTGTTTGCTGCAATTTGTAACTATGTTCTAACACTTGTTAACGAATGCTATTGCGGGCTGCAGTGTGACCAAGGAACACTTGAGGGTAAACATGACCAAGTGTTTGTTCCTGGGTTGTGTTACTATTTATCACTGCAGGTGTTGAAACATATCGTGTTGTGCAGCAAGGCTTTAAATGGATGAATAGAGTAAGAAACGAGACTTAGCTACTGCTCCTTCCTTTGTGTTTTTTCCATCTGCTCTGCTTACACTGAACACAGACAAATGCCACAATTGGCTGATCAAAGATCTACTGTGTTGGAGAGCTGAATATCCATATGACATCAGAAGAATCCCATCATTTGGCTGGGCATTGGCTTTAGACAATGCAGCTCGCGGCAGTGAAAGTATGCCCATCAAGAGGCCTGAAGAAGAAGCAAATGTTTACACATGAGCTGAAGTTGAAGGAATAGAACGAAGATTAATCAAACAAAGGCAGCATGGATGAGTATGGGGCCCCTAACTAAACTCAGCATAAAAGTGAGGTGTAGAGGAAGGACATCCAGAGGCGGGTGACCCAGGAGCTGCTGTCTGGTGTTGCAGGGCTAGGATTAGAAAAGCCAAGGCTGAATCTGGTATGAAATGTGAAGGGTGACAAGAAAGGATTGTATAAGTGCATAGACAGAAAAAGGAAGACAAGGGAAAATGCCAACTAGCTGCTGAATGGTGCTGGTGAATTGCTGACAAATTGCCTGAAAAACTTTGCTTCAGTCTTTACCAGTAAGACCAGCCTTCAGCAATTCAAAGTCACTAAGGCCAGGGAGAAGACTTGAGCAAAGAAGACCTATCCTATGGTTGGGGATCACCTAAGCAAACAAGTCCCACAGGTGCTAGAAAATGGTCCATCAAAGAGAGGTTGAGGTGGTTCTGTTCAGCCTGGAGAAGAAAAGCCACAAGTGGATTTTATCTGTATGTATAAATACCTGATGGCAGGTGAATGAAGGAGAGCGAGACAGCGCTTCTCAGTAATGCCTCGTGACAGGGCAGAAGGTGATGGGGTCCAACTGGAACACCATTCCCTCTGAACATCAGGAAGCACTTCTCTACTATGTGAGAGTACTGTGTGAGTGATCAGTACTGGCAGAGATTGCCCAGACAGGTTGTGAGGTCTCCATCCTTGGAGATGGCCAAAAGACAACAGCCACGGTCCTGGGCCACTGGTTGTATTTGGCTGTGCTTTGAGCAGGGGATTTAGACCAGATGATATCAAGAAGTCCTTTCCAATCTCAATGATTCTGTGATTCTTTTGTTCCATTGTGAGGTCCCTACTCCCTCATAGGTTGACATGGGCTCATGAGCAGGCTCTGTTCTGCCATACCTCCTCAAGCCTTCCTGAAACTTCTCTGCATGTGGTGCTGACTGCACTGCTGCGATCTGGTATGTTGTGTTCACACTGACTCAGTTGTTTCTTATTTATTTTCTGACTGCATCTCCCAAGTTCTTTTGATTGGTGTGAATCCTGAACTTAAGGCTGCTTGACTTCCTCTGAACCCAAAACCCAGAAATTGACTTGCTGATCAGGCACATCTCATTGGAAAACTTTCACATACAAAAGTACTCCTCTTGCCTTAGCTGAGGGTTAAACCTTATCCTCTTGTAATTGCTGTATTGCATCAGCTACTGCTTTTTTCTTACTTTGGTCTTTGTGACCTTCAGGACGTAGCCAAGAGAGCTGATGGTGCGTTGGAGCTTTGGAGTTGTGAGCAGTGGACATGCCGCCTCTCTTGCTCACAACTGATAGGCTTAGAACAATTTGTTGACCTGACTATTCCTCCAAATCTGAATGTCTCAGCTTTTCAGCTTTGTCTCTTTGTGCTTGTGAGGTGGATATTAAAGCTCTAGCCTGTTGTAATCTGACCTGATGTCAATTCCTCTTTCTGAACTCCACTAAGACCTTGTAATTCAGCTGTACGGGATCCTGCCTGTTCCTCCTGCCTTTCCCTCTGCAGCAAGGGAGCTTGCTCAAGCTTGCTTCTTGAACAAGCTGGCAGATATGTTATTGCTCTTTTTTGTTCTGCATTTCAGCCTTCCATGTGACATTCATACTGAAGCTCAGAGCTTACAGTGAGTTGCCTTTCAGAAAGCAGCATTTCTGTTTTCCCTTTAGGATAAGTCACCCTCATCCCCATTACTTCCTATGCTTGTGTTCTCTCTGTCCTCCACACTGAGGACTTACTCCTGAGAGTAAGCCTGCAGTGTTCCCGTCCCAGCAAACTGTCCTCCATATGTTTCACTTTGCCCTTGTGTTTTCCCAAAGCTGCTACTCTGCACTGCTAAGACTTTCTGAAGGTCTGATTTTTCCACTCTCCCCGGACCTTGCAGCCAGTGTCTGTGTCCTTGAAGTACGTGAACAGTATCACTTGTCCTTCCAGAACAGGCTGCTATCTTTCCAAACTCAGTTTCGGTTCTCCCAGCAAATCTGTTGCACTTAGTAAATCATAATAGACAGTATTTTAAGTTAGCATCTCCAGGGTATTAGGCAAACTTATGCAAGATCCTTTTGCTTGTCTTGTGGCTACTGTGACTCCTCTGTTATCCTCTCCTGGTTACTGTTGTCTGGACCCACTGTACTTTTATTGTCCTTCTGCTACAGCCAGCCTGCAAAGAGAGCAGGCTGGTCTTAGGGAAGAAGTTTCTTCATCTGTTTTATTCTCTTTT